ACATGGCGCAAGCGATGCCTCGGCAGCACGCAGTGCTCCGCCCGAAGGTTGCCCCAGGTCTTCAGATTTTCGAGCGGCGCAGGGGAGCGGGCGACCTGCCGGTCGAAGGAGGCCGCCGCGGGAGGATCCGCGCGCCGCCGAGAGAAGCAGACGCAACATCGCGGCGCGGGGCGTTCCTGCGGGATCGCCGCGAAGCGCAGAGAGCACAACCTTAAATGATGCAGTTGGCAATTCAGACGCAAGACGACATGCAGAGAAGACAGCGGGCTTCAAAGTTAGATGTCCAGACCTTTTAGCCATGACTGGGCAAAGTCTGTTTATTCCAGAGCCGCAGGTCAATTTTTTATTTGGCAGTGCCGGGGGGGGCCGGGGCGCGCGGCGCCGCCCTGCCGCCGCCCCCGCCCGCCGCGCCGGCGCTCGCGCTGAACGCCGCAAGGCAGCGGCGGCAAGTGCGCCGCGCCCAGGAGATCCTCGATGCGGCCTGCAAGGACCTAGGGTCTTCGACTTCGAAAAGTCGGCGTCGAAGCGCGCGCGCGCCAGGCAGGCGTTGCAGATGGCGCGCGAGGACGCAACCATTCTCGAGTCGCCAAACACCGACGCATGTCCCAATCTGGAGCGAGAGCAATCAGATCAATTTCCACGGCTGTGAAGTTGGGCGAAATCTTGGAGGGGCACCGCGGCGCGAATTTTACTCCGCAGATTGGTATGCCCAAAGGCGCCACTATCAGAGCCGCAATGCGGCTTGCGCGCCCAGGGGTTGGCCAAGCATGAAACGACGTGGCAGGCGGGCGTCTCCAAGGCCGAGTTCCAAAGCGCGTCGCATGGCGCGGGAGACCACGCCAGACAGCTTTGCCTTGAAGCTTCTCTCAAGGAGCCAGTGGATCCAGATTTTGCCCGTGAGAAATGCGAGCACCCCTGCGCCAAGATGGCGGGCCGCATCCACAGGGCAGACGCGAGGAGAAGGGGGGGTCTGGAAAGGGGGGCAGGACATGAGGATGAGAGGGGAATCGGGCATTGATGGGCAAGACCCAGGTTGTCTGCTGCAGTTGCGGCCAAGCACGCGGGGGACAAGCGGGGGCGAGAAGGCCTCGTCGCCGCGGGCGCGAGCGCGGGTCGCGCCCGGGCAGCGGGGGCAATCAAAGATGCGGTTGCTGCGTTTACTTCGCCTCGTCAGCCACGCGAGCCGAAGAAACCAGTTAACGAGAAGCCCCCGGAGGGGTTTCCGGGGCAGCCTGCGAACTATTCGCAAGCCACGGGGGCCTTGCCGCGGCAATGGGCGGAGCCAGGGCGACTCGCGCGCGCGGGCCGGCTCGTGGAAGACCGGACCACGAGGCGGCAAAGGCGAGTGCCCCTAGGGAACGGCTGGGCCAGGCCGCGGAAAGTGCAACGAAACCGAAGACAGCGGAAAAGCGCGAACCCTGGCGGCGCAGGCAAGACAGGCACGGAAGTCGATGCAAAAGGCGGAACGCGTGGGCCACGGAGGAGCAGCAACGGCAACACATTATTAAGGGGGAACATCAGAGGGGCAAGTGGCTCGGCGGCCAGAAGATGGGGCAGCGCTCATGGAATGGCTGCCCACGGCCTCGAACGTTTTCTTGCGCGACCGTTTGAATCGGAGCGTCGCTCCTTCAGCGCAGATCCCCCGGCCTGTGGCGCGGTCTCGAATTTACTTTCGCCATGGGCGCGTTCTCATATCAACCAGGCCCACCAATGTGAGTAAGGTCCACGCCGACATCCCGTCAGTCATGCGCGCGTTGTAGTGGCTTTGTTGATCGCCAGAGTCGGAAGACAGGCGCCAGTGCCGCATCGAAAAGTCGGGTGGCCCCGCGCTGCGCTTCAGACGCCATTCGGACTGTCGGTCAAGTTGCCGGCGACCAAACGCACGCACAGAGCGAGTGACGCGTTCCCCCTCTTGCGTTTGGCTTTTCGCTCGCTGCGCCAGACGAACGTTGCGCCACTGGAGAACGATGAGCAGATGGGCTGAATATTGGTGCCTTTCACACGATGGGTGTGTTGGTCGGCGCGGTTTTTCGACAGCGGGGATCAAGGGGGGCCCCTGGGTGCATGGCGCAACGACGATGCCGCGTTCAACTCGCCTGCCGAGCTGGCGCGCCTCAAACAGAGGAAGGCGCACCATCTGCCGACCAAGGGGCTCGACGACGCGCCGCACGTCAACATCGCGCAAGACGCATAAAGAGCCCGCCAGGCAGTGCTGCTTGGCTTGCAACTGAGCCCCGGCAAAGGGTTGCGGTTTCGAGCCAACTGGCGATTGATCGCGTGGAGGCCGCTCGTCGCCTGACGCACCATTCGTTCCTTGATCATCGCGGGCCCCTCGCGTTTCACATCGAATACTTCTTCGCGGGCGGCGACGCGCGCGAGTTAGTGGGTGATTTTGCTTACTCTTTGAGCGGAGCTGTCGGAGTGCTCGTGGAACGCGCGTTGCGTAATCTTCTGGGCACTGCGCATGTTGCATCGCGCCACTTCCCCGGTCGAGCGCGGAAGGTCATCGGAGGGACACGTGCGGGATAATTAAGATCTGGCCCTCGCCTGGGGGATGGGCAAATTGGCCAGTGAGAACAGCCGCGCGGACGCCGTCTCTAGGCGTCTCAGTTTCTGCGATCCGTTGTACCATTCGGTAAAAAAAAACGTTGTCAAAACGCAACCTTTTTTTACAATTCGGTAAAATCCCGCGCCCGATGCTTCAAGCTAGTCGCGTCTAGCGGGGGACGCTCCCAAGCCGATTGGCTCGAGCTCGCATTGTTTAGGCATGGCGCCATCATTGCAACGCAACCTAGGTTCCAATACGTTTACTTAATCATTCCGCCCTCGGTGTTTAGTGCCACCCGATGCACGCTCATGCAGATTGGCCTCGCGCGCGAGCCCGCGGGATGACTCGAGGAAGCGGCTCGGACGGTAGATGACAAGCTTTCGCGACCCGATACAGCACGGCAGCCAAAGTTTGTGCTCGGTTGCCGAATCGCCATGTGTAGCTCCTGCGGCCCGCGGTCATGGTAGTCGCTTAAAGGTCTGGTTCAAACTCTGCCTCCGTCCCCAAATTGGTCCTTTGAGTCAGGCGTGCGCGCGTCGCTTGTTGCATGGGTCCGCGCATGCATGACACGTTGTCCCGTTTCGCAACCCAAGAGAGGTTGCCGCACATATCGGGTATGCTATTACCGCTCGGGCCAGAAATTGGCTGATGCGCTAGGTTGGTTTGGTGATGGAGCGGGGCAGGTGGGTAGGTTTACGGTGGGGGCGTTGGTTGAGGAATGCGCCCAGGAGGCTTCAGACCTTGGAGGGTTCCTTACCTAGTAAGGGCGGCGGTAATTCCCATGGTCAAGCCCCAGTTGGTGTGCCACCAGCTTCCAGACCCTGGATTCCTTGTCTAAGGGTTTCGCGCTCCCCTGGGTGGCCCTGGGGTGCGCCGCGGGCGTGTGCTAGCGCTCTTAAATCGGCGCCGCGTTTGGAATTCATTGCTCGCACGGGCTTCGGCCGTCGAAGAGAGAAACAAGATGCCACCACCGTAACCCTTGTTGAGCAGAGGAGGGGTGGCAGGTACAAGTCCTCCAGCGCCAGCTCCGTAGGCTCGCCCTCTGCACCAAGAGCTTGCGTGGCATTGTGAGAGCGGTGGTTCCTGACAGCCCATCTGGTTGCCTGCGGTGGCCACGACGACGACGACACCAACAACGACGAGCGACGACATTCAACGACGACGTCCTCCTCTGACCTCCCCCGTGGCTGCGCCATTGAAGCTGGGACGACGGCTGCGAGAGTCTGCGGAGTCTGGGTGGGTCTCTTGGCTGTTCGTGAGCTTTCAGGGACCTGCTCCGCCCTGCGCTACAGCGCCCATGGGGGGGCGGGGGCGAGGGCGAGGTCGTCATTCTGCTCGTGCTCGCCGTCGTCGTCGTCGTCGTCGTCGTCGTCTGTGTCGTCGCCTCTTTGAAGTCGTCGTGCGGCGTGTGTTCAGTTTCTCGCCGCCACGGCCGGACGCGGCTTGAGCATCTGGCCGGGACTGCCCCAAGAGGGGCCCAAAGAGAATAAGGATTGTTGTGTGGCCTTGGGACATATCTTTGAAACCACACCTGAGTTGGATTTAGGTCAGGTGTGGGTTTTCCCGCATGTGTGTACGTACGGGCACAACTGAGCTAGAAGGTTGAGGCGCGCGCGTGTTTCGCGACAGGTTTGTTGTACACATGCGCTGTTTTGAGTTTGTTGGAACCAGAACTGACTCAAACATGAACCCAACGCGATTGCAATTCAGGGCGCAGTGACTTGCATTGAGGTGGCATTCGGATATTTGCCACGACATGCAAGACACACAACAGCGTAGCAGTGCCTAGCCTAGCACCGCCTATCACATCGCGGCGTGACAGTACTGTACAGCATCGAACCGAGCGGCGCAGCATAGCGTTGCATGTCGGAGCATGACAAAGCTCCATAGCCTAGCGTGGAATGGCGCCGTATTCAATAGCAGTGCCTGGCTCTACCCAGCACGCTACAACACAACATGGCATTGGATAGCAAAGCTGGGCACACTATCGCAGATGGTAGCACCGCATAGCAGAGTGCACGAAATAGTGAACAACAGGACAGCACAAAACAGCGCAGCATCTGCGCGGGCAGACGGCGCCCAAGTCACGGAGAGTCGGTTTCATCGGTGTTTCCACAGGTTTTTCTCTCCCGACCAAGGTACAAGAAAACATTGTTTGGCAAGCGTACTTGGGGAAGAAGTCTGGTGGGTTCTGGGAAATGTTGGCAACCATGTTGTTAATCCCCCCTCCTATGCTTATTGTTCTTCCATCCCGATGTTTCCCTTTCATTCCCGACGTTGGTCCACGCGTTTGCAGGCATTGCTATCTGTGCCTGCTGATGCGTGAAAGGTTGTTCCATGGGTTGAGTTTCTTTGAATGATGTGTTGTGCTTTCTGCTCGCTTGTGCGTTGAAGTCGCTGTTGGTTGGCTTCGAAGGGTCGCAACGGGAGACACGAGCGGGATGCTGGTTTCAGTAGCTTGTGGCTCAGTCCGTCGAGGTTGACACGGAAATAGTACAAGTGATTTGCATCAATTGTACAGCAGATTCGTAAAAGTAGTCATCTTTCGACATTCTGCTTACAATGGCTCCTGTTGGATCTGTGATGCTGCTCGGAGCGCTTCTTTTTCCCACCTTTGAGGTGCAAGCAGTGGCAGCAGGCGTGCTTAGGTTTGAATCCTTTGCAGACGCAGGCTGCTCGGAGTTGACGAAGACTGAGTACGTCAAAGCAGTAACTGGATCTACCAATTGCTACGTCTACTCGGATGCCAACGGCGACGTGTCCACCGGTGCTTCGAGCTTCACTCTGACGTGCGAGGCTGGCAATGCCGATGCCACAGAGTACGACAGTGAGAGTTGCACGGGCTCTGCCGTGTCTTCTGGGACTCAACCTTGGTTCATTGAAACTATGTGCACTGGCACGGCTGAGCGTTTCCACAGGATCGATCAGGAGCTGACGGTCCACAGCAATTACGGTTTGCCGGGTTCAACGTGTTCGAAGGCGTACTTCGCATCGCGGTGATCTCCCTCTGTCCTGGCGACATCGGCACCCGAGAAAGCCGGCAAGGGGTCGGCTTCTGAATTGGCCAGTTCTTTGCGTCTCTGCGAGGCTGAAGCGCAGCGAACCTATGCAGAGCCATCAAGCTGACGACATACGGTCACGTCAAATGCAGGCTGATCAACCGGCCAAGGCGCCGGCAAAGTCACTCAGGGCCCCCGAGGACCAGGTTTCTGGAGCGTGTTTATTTATTCCCCACCCACCAAACCACCACAACCCAACCCGAAGGCTCAGATTTACATGTGGAACCCTTACCCCCCCCACCCGAAATTCGGGTCTTCGGGTTGGGTTGGGGTGGTCTGGTAGGTAGTCATTTATTGCTTGCTGCATCATGGGCACTAGAGCCCCCTCCCCCCCCTCCCCGCCCCCCCCGATAACGTAACGCCCCTCCCCCCCCCCAGTGCGCTCCGGGCACTGCCGCCGTGCGCACCGGGCACACGGCGGAGGGGAGGCGTTATACCCCCCCCTCCGGCCTCCTACCTCCCCCCGCCCCCTTTATAATGCCCAATGTCGCCGAAAATAAAGACACGCGCTCTTTCAGAGCGTGAATTACCTACCCCGCTTTCGCTTCCAGGCAAAACCAAGCCATACCACGCGCCTCCTCGTCAAGCGGCCTGACCAGTACAGGCTGCAATTTGGCAGCGTTTGGTCTCCCTTGGTAGCGAGGGTGGCCAGAAGCGAGGCAGGTTTGTTTCCCCCCTGCTCTTGCAAGCTCAGGCTTCTCCACTCCCAGCCTCGTGCAGGCAGAGAGTCGGGGGACTGCCTCGGCCCACGGCCGCGGCTGGCAGCCCAGCCTCGTGGAAGCAGAGAGAGTCGGGGGACTGCCTCGGTCCACGGCCGCAGCTGGCAGCTGCCTCGGGTGCGCACAGATGTCTCGGCCTACCAGACCGGGCGATCGCAGACGTGGATCAAGGGGGCGTGGATTTGCGAGGAGGAGGAGGGTGAGGGGGAGGAGGAGGAGGAGGGGGAGGAGGAGGAGGAGGAGGAGGAGGGGGAGGAGGAGCCTCGGCCTCCACAGGGAGGACGGAGGAGAAAGGCGGGGGAAGGGAGCATCAGGCGATGGCAAACATGGATATCGAGGGGGCGTGGATCAGCGACGGGTCCCGTTTCCACAGGAAGTGGCGGATTTCCGCCACCGAGCGATCGGCGGCACGGGCCGCATTCTGGGGAGGGCGCCTCCCCCGATCCATGGGTCTGGCGACCGCGCGCCAGATCCATGGATCTGGCGACCGTGTTTGCGTGCCCCCGACCAAAGGTCCCCGTCCACGGGGCCCTGAAGCATAACGCGACCTCAACTGTGTTAGTTACTGGCACGCACTCTAGCGGAAGGCGTGCGCCTGTTCGACGACAAAAGAAAGGGAGCGGGGGGATGAACAGCTATGGCGAGCCCACTGTCAGGAACGTTTGCTCAGCGTGCCGCGCCGCCAGTTCTGGCCCACCACGCATCGGGGCCACCACGTGATAACCGCGTCCCAGTCCCCGGGCGTCAACGTCCCGAGCTGTTCCCACCCCACCCCCCGAGCCGCAAAGCGACGCGCTGCTCGCTTGCAGGGCATGGCGTGTCGCCGGAGCCGCCGCCGCGGCGCCGGAGCCGCCGCCGCGACGCGCGAAGGATGAGTTCCTGACCGCATGGCGAGCCACATCTGTACCCACAGCAGTGGCACTCTTCAGCGCCCACACGTGCTGCCCCCACTCGGGGGCGGCAAAGAGGGGGGTGATGACTAGGGGGGGTGGATTTCAGCGCGGGGGCCATGGCATTTCCCAAGATCTCATGGCGCCTCTTCTTATTTCATTACGTCCCTGCCCCCCCCGCTGGACCGCGCACATGCCGCCGGTCATGATTTGCTCCCCCCCTCTTGGACGCCCCCCTCTTTGCCGCCCCCGACCCACTCCTCTCTGTTCCGCTCGCTCGGCAGTTACAGTCTCTGTGCGATCGGCTTCTCTGTGGCTTGCTCGCGCGTGGGATGACCTGTGCTTACTCGGCCTCCCTCCTGGTCTCCCCCTCCCCCTCCTTGTTCAAGCGGGCGCTGGAACAAGTCAGCCATGCTTCGCTCTGCATGCTACGTCACTCTGCTCCACGCAACGACACACGAGGCAAAGCAGTGCAATGGGGCCACGTGGCGGTGTTTGCTCTGATGGCAGAGAGCAGGGTAGCACCGGCCTCTTGGAAGCAGTTTCGAGAAGCTTTGAGGAGCAGCATGTAGATTGGCATTGTGTGGCATTTCACAGCATTGCTGGCATCGCATTCGCACTGCGCAGCACAGCACAGCTTGTCACAGCTTGCGCACAGCATAGGCATAGCATCGGCCTGGCGTGGCGTAGTTGTACACAGCGTAGCATGTCATACCAAAAAATTGGCATGCCGTGACATGGCATACGATGGCATATCAAAGCAGCTCGCCGAGAACCGCATAGCACAGCACAGCCTTTCACACCAGATGGGGCGTGCCAGAAAAGGCCTCGCCTTCGACGGTCGGAGGCGGTGACATGTTTTCCCCTAGCGGGATGCGGCGGAAGGTCGGCGGAAGCTGGCGGAAACAAAACGAGGCCCTCTACGCCAGCGGAAACCGGCCGAATGCAGCGGAAGAGGCAAACACACGTGCCTACTAGTTGTGCGTCGTTCCGTGAGAACGGCCGTTACCTGAAGGAGGCCATGCCTGGTAAAGGGTAGTATCCCGAACCGTTCAATAGCGGGGTTCATGAGATGTCTAACTTTCTGGATTCAGGGATTCTGGACCAGGCCGTACAGCATGCTTCTACACAGCAACGAATCGCAGCACGGCGCAACACGGCGCAGCACGGCACGGGCGTGGTTCGGCACCAAGCTCGAGGCGAGAAACCGACGCCCAATGTCGCCGAGGAGTCGGCCGACCGCTCAGGGCGCTGACAGAGAGTACTTCGCCCTCGAAATACAAGCAGGAGTCCGTATACCATTGGAGAACAGTCGTGGGCATGCCTTAGACGGCCTTGCCTTGGTCGATTCTTTCCTCAGGTGCGTTTACTAAAGTGCTTCGCTTGTCGGGAAGCTTATTCTGAGGGTGGTTCTGAGGCCATCTTGGGCCGTCTTGGGCCCTTGGGGCCTCTGTGAATTCGCCGACTAAATACCCACCTCACGTGGACTACACACCTCGTGGACTCGCCTTACACCCCCATAGGCCTACCAAGGCTTATCTAGGCCAACCCTGAGCCAACCCTACGCCATACCTAGGCCAACTTAGGCCTTTGGCCTTCCTTAGGCTACCCCTAGGCCCGAGGGTATAGCCTACCCCACCTTAGGCTTGTCTAGCCTATCTGGGCCTACCCTGGGCCTGCCTAGGCCTACTCAGGCCCGCCCTGCGTTTGCGTTGGTCTACATAGGCTTGCCCATAGGTTACTCTAGGCCCGAATGTAAGCCCAGCCATACCTTATGCCTGGTGAGGCCTTCCCTGAGCCTACCATTGGCGTGCGTTGGCAGACCTAAGCCAACCCTGGCCGTAGTTCAGCTTACCGAGGCCCTCTTAGGCCTGCCTAAGGTTTGTTCTTCCGCTGCCCCAGGGGTGGGCCGTGCCCCACCATAGGCCTCCGTAGGCCTACTCTAGGCATGCCTAGATTGATGTGATTCGGCCCACCTGGACCTGAAGAGTATAGTTGGAGTCTCTCGGGACGTTATGGGGGCTTCTGTATCGCGCCCCAGCCGTCCGTTTCGGGTCCGAGGACCCGCGGGAATGACCCCTCGGCTTGAAACCAATGTTAAAGATGGTGTCGAGGGCCTCCGCGGATCCCCACGGACGGAGATCGTGAAGCGATCCGCGCGCTACCAGAGATGGCCACGAGGTCCTGTGGTGACTTGCAGGGTCAGCCTGGTGCTTCTTCGGTGGGGGCCCCGATGCCGCCCTGCACCTCCACGTGCGCCTCTCCCTCCTCTGGAGGCCTGGACACGGGGCACCAGCACCAACACGGTGGGTTGCCTCCACCGGGGGGAAGACGATCCTCGGTCTCGGTGTTGGCGGTAATCGTTCGGCCGCCTAGGAAGCCAGGGTATTACCACCATCACCGAGATCGGGACATTCTTCCCTCGGTGGAGGCGTAACGCCGATATTGCTGTTGCTGTCAACCTCTAGGCCTGCCACTCCGCACTCTCCTCCTTTTTTCTCTCTTTCTTCGAGGCTGGGGCGACTGCGGCCGAGGACGGGCGAAGCTGGGGCGCCAGCTGCAGTATCCACTGCAAGTCCTTGGGTGGCGGACGTCTTCCGTGCACTTTGGCCACCCACCAAACCACCCCAGCCCAACCCGAAGGCCTCGCATGTGCCCTCCATTTCCAGTGGGGAGGGGGGGGATGTCGGGGAAAATTTCGGGAAGAGAACACACATGAAGCCCTGTGAAGTCGGCCCGGATTAGCAGGTCGACCTTGCCAGCTCAAAGGTACATTTGTGTCCTGTGCCTCGCGACGCGTGCCTCCTTACACTCCTGTGGCGATGTGGCCCTCGGAAGGGTCTCGTGCCCTCTCGCGTGTCCTGCCCAATCAAGGCCGACTGTATCCCCCCCCCAACCCGGATTGGGTCGGGGTGGGGTGGTCTGGCAGGTAGTCCTAAATTCGTTGACGTAGTTGGCAGCGAATTTAGGACTAGGAGGAGGAGGAGGAGGAGTGGGAGGAGGAGGGGATAGGAGGAGGAGGAGGAGGAGGAGGAGGAGAAGGAGGAGGAGGAGGAGGAGGAGGTGGCCTGGCAGGTAGTCCTAAGTTCGCTGCCGTCGCCCTCGTCGTCGCGCCCCGTGCACGGCTGGTTTTCTGCGGGGGCCATCCCTACGAATCTCCTTGCTGTCGTTCGATGAACTCTCGCTGCGCGAAGGCTGTAGTTCCTGTACTGCCTTCTCTCTGCTCCCCCGATCGTCTCTCCGTCCGCTCCCCGCTCCCCTCCCGCGTGCGGTGTCGCCCTTGACGCTGACGCATTCCCTCTCCTCCTCGTGCTGCTGGCCCTCGTAGTGCCTATAGTTTTCGTCGTGCTCCCCCAGTTCCTCCCTCTCAATCCTCCTCCTTCTTGTGCGAGCGAAATTGCCGCGGCGTGCTTGTGTGGGCGTGACTGACAATGTTTATTTTCTTACATGCATGTTTCTGCCGAGCGTCTTCGCGCAGATCCCCCGCCCTTAATGTCCATTCCGGAGCGAAGCGGCCAGTTTCTTTGGAATCAATTCGGATCTGCGGATTTCGAAGCATATATTGCGATCCTTCGCAGGGTTGACGCGAGCGAGCCTTTGAAGATTTCCGGGAGCCTCGATCGACCGTTTTTGTCTAGGTTCTCAGTTCTGTTCTCGTCGGGAGCTATTTCGGACGAGATTGCGTTGAACGGGCAGCATTGCTTCAGTTTCGGTGTAGATCTGGCGACATCGTATCGAATCGGCGCTTCCCTGTAAATGCGGCTTAGATTCGATCGCATTCTTGACGATTCGCATCTTTCAGCTTGCGGACCCCGCGAAGCAGCCACTTCGGAAACTTATTATCCTCCTCTTCCTCCTCCTGTTGCTGAACTTCCCTCTCCTCATCCCTCTTCTCCCCTCCCTCATCCCCTCCCTTCCCTTCCTCGCCTCCCTCCCCTCCTGCTGCCCCTCTCCCTCCCCCTCCGCCAGAGGGGGGGGGGGGCCCTCCCGAGGAGAAGGAGAAGAAGCCCGCCAAGGAGGCGCGCAGCTGGGCCCGGCAACGCGCAGTCGGACCGAAGTCTAAAAGCAAGGTCGGTTCGGGGAGGGTACCCCAATGTTTGCCGTGCGTGTTGGATGTTCTTGTGCATCCTGGGGAAGGTGTCCTTGGATGCTCTGTGGGTGTGTTTGGCCGGCGGAGGGTCTCATGTTCTTGGTGGAGGATATCCTGGTCCAGTTCCGAGTGCCTGCCAAAGCGCCAGCGCACCGCGCGCCTCTGTGCCGGCCCAATGGAAAGAGGGAGGGGCTGAGGGGAGGAGAGGGGCGATGAGAAGAGGAGAGAGCTGATGGGCGTGTTTCCCACCTCCACCACCATAAGCTGGAGGGGGAGGGGGTCCTCCTCCTCCTCCTCCTCCTCCTTCCTCCTCCTCCTCCTCCTCCTCCTCCTCGTCCTCCTCCTCCTCCTCCTCCTCCTCGTCCTCCTCCTCCTTCCCCACCTTCAACTTCTGGTGGTGGTGGTGGTGGGGAACAGGCCCATCAAGAGCGAGGAACGACGGGGACGAGGGGCGGAGGGTGGGCAAGGAGGAGGCGGAGGGGTATGTGGCACTCGACGGGGGTGGGGGTGGCTGAGGGAAGGAGAGGGGCGATGAGAGGATGAGAGAGCGACGAACGACGGGGACAGGAGGAGGAGGAGGAGGAGGAGGAGGAGGTGAAGGATGTATGTAGTACTCGACGGGGGCGGGGGGGGGCTGAGGGGAGGAGAGGAGCGACGAGAAGAGGAGAGGGCGAGGAACGACGGGGACGAGGGGCAGAGGGTGGGAAAGGAGGAGGCGGAGGGGTATGTAGCACTCGACGGGGGCGGGGGGGGGGCTGAGGGAAGGAGAGGAGCGATTAGAGCAGGAGAGGGCGAGGAGCGACGGGGACAATGGGCGCGGAGGGAGGGGAAAGGAGGAGTCTAGGCCTCCCAAGTGGGGTCGGAGCAGATGGGGTCGGAGATTCGCGCCGCATCGCCGATGCATCGGCGATGCGGCTCGACGCGGAGTCCGATTTTCTCCACGCCTACGTCGCCGATGCATCGCCGACGTCGCCAGTGCATCACCGATGCATCGCCGATACCTCGGTAATGGATTGGCGATGCGGTGCGATCCTTCGACCCAATCTACTCGGACCACACCTAGGAGGCCTCTAAGGGAGGAGAGGGGCGATGAGAAGAGGAGAGGGCGAGTGACAACCGGGACGAGGGGCTGGGGGGGGGGGAGGGGGGGAGGGGGATGGAGGAGGCGGAGGGGTGCGTAGTACTCCGCAGGTCGAACTCCGCCCTCGCTGGCACGAAACCGCCCCAGCGCAGCACAGAGCAGACGAAGGAGGACAAGGGAAGGAATTCACGCACCCGCCGGCCCAGCTGCCGTCACAGATGCTCGGGGGGCCTCTGGGTCCGCGGGGAAGGCTCCCACCCCGTGCCTCCAAGGCACAGACGCAGGCGCCCTGCACCAGCACCCTGTCCTGGCGGGCCCGCCGGAGAGGCTCCCGACCCCGCACCGTCTCCGGGGGCACAGAGAAGAAGCCTCCAGCCTCACCTCGTGGGTCCGCAGGGGAGGCCCCCGGCCCCGTGCCTCCCACAGCGCACAGCGAGGCGCCCTTCGCCGCCAGGCACCACCAGCCTCATCCTGTGTGGTCCGCGGGGGCAGCCTCCGACCCCGTGCCCTTCCCACAGCGAAAGTGCACCGCAGCCTTAGAGTCGAAATTGTGTACGTTTCGCCCACGTATCCCCCGAAATTCTTTTAACAGCTTTGACGCCGCTCGCGCGTTACAGTCTGCCGGCGAGGAACAAAACCCGGTTCAAATGCAACCTTCACTCGCCAGTGCCCACGGGTGGTGGCTGCATTTTCTAAGTGTTTTCATGCGCCACTGCCTCCCGCAGCTCAGCCGCAGCCACAGAGCGAGACCCAGCCCATGTCCACGCGGGCGATATCCAGTAGACCCGGTCAGGCCGCTGAAATGCCCGCCACTCGCTAGGGGAAGAGCCCCCCAACAACTCGTGGTTGTTTTCGCGCCTGGGGGGCAACAGAGAGGCGGGGAGGTCGAAGATCACGAAGTGGCCCACAGTTGGCTCCGGGCATTCAAAATGTGGCCTGGGAGTGGTGTTCTGGGAACACGAGGAACACGAAGTGGCCTACAGTTGGTTCCGGGCATTCAAAATGTCGCCTGGGAATGGTGTTCTGGGAGCACGAAAAACACGAAGTGGCCTACAGTTGGCTCCGGGCATTCAAAACGTGGCCTGGGAATGGTGTTCTGGGAATGGATTCCTAAGGATTCCGAAGAATTCCTAAGGATTCCTGAGGATTCTTGGGGCTGCATTTTTGCCCGGTTCCTTGTCCGGATCCCGCCCAGACCCCCCTGGGGCGTCAAGATGTTTACTTTTGATCCCTCGATAGAAACCTATCAGCAAAAGCTGTTAGGTAAGTAAAAAAATAGTTTGGGAAGATTTTCGGGTTAGGGTATTTCTAATTTTTCGCTCAAGATCCGCCTGTAGGGGGACATACCCGGTTTAAGATTTGGGGGAGCCCTCGTCCGCCGGCGACCCGGCCCAGCGACCTGCCCGCGCCCCGCTCCGCGGCACGTCCGCGTCCCGCCCCGCGTTCCCACCGCCCGCCCAGCGGCCCCTCTGCGGCCCACCCCCTCGGCGGGGTGGCGGCGCCCGCAGCGGGGCGGTCAGAGCCCCGAGGGGCCTTCCTACACTTGGACTAAGTGGGGCCTGTCCCTCTACAGGGGGGCTATTCAAACACAGTCCAAAAATAGTCATGGGACGATGTTTGAACCGTTTTTTGGATACGTTTGGTGCATGTGTGGGGTACAGTCGGCCCAGATGAGTAGGTCGACCCTGCCAAATCAAGGGTACCCTTGCGTGCTGTGTCTCACGACCCATGCTTCCTACATTCCTGTGGCAATGTGGCCCTCGGAAGGGTCTTGTGTCCTCTTGCCTGTCCTGTCCAATCGAGTCCGACTACATTTTAATTTTTCGCCCAAAATCCCATGTACGGGGACAGGCCCGACCTAACACTTTGACGTTCCATGTTCGGAAACTGGAACATATACACTACCAGTGGCGGGCGGCTTTGAGGGTCGGGGGCGACGTCGGGGTGGTGTGGTGTATATTTTCTCCGTTTTCTCGGAGGGAAACAACGAAAAATGTACACACCAGGCTCCCGCATACACCAGAATCCGCGCTCCTGTGCGACTTTCAGCGCAGGGCCGGAAAAAGCGTCGGTGTATAGAGTTCGTTTCCCTTCATCCAGCTTAACCCGGCTTAATCTCGCCGAATCCGGCTTATAATCCAGCTCAATCCCGCTCAATCCCGCTTAATCCCGCTCAATCCCGCTTAATCCGGCTTGCTCCTGCTTCGTCCCAGGCCCAGTCCCGCGTAACAGCTCCCAAATGGGGCGCCATCCTCCTCAATCTTTCCGGCGAAAACCTCCCAGCAGCTGCCTCCTAATCCGTGTGGCCGTCGACCCGCCCTCGGCCCGCTGCCGACCCGCTCGCGAGCCGCCTGCGCTCCTCGGAAGAAGGACTCTGCGCCTGCGTGCACCAGCTCTCCCGCGGCCAGCATGCGGCGCCCCTGCGGCCCACCGTGCCCCGCGACCCCGCGTGCCCCTCACCCCGGATCCGAACCTGCGGCTGCCTGTGGTGGTTGGTGTCGGGTACAGCCCGGACCCCAGGTAAGGGGCCCGGTCAGCGGTGGGGCCCCGGGGCGGCCCTTGGATTGGCCAGAATCGCTGAGCCAGGTCTGCCGTGGCCGGTGTTTTTCGGGTGACGGCGGTTCCGGTAAGTGGAACGGGGCGGGGGGGCCTCCCCCAGTACACATCACTAAATCAGGTTCCACTAAACCCAGTTCTGCCAACGCCCGATAGTGGGTGACCGTAGAAGGCATCAAGGGATGAGCAGTAAAAGGAAGAATTGGATGAGGGGAATGAAGAATGACGTAAACATAACAACTCCGAGGTCCGCGCGGATTTCTCGGATCGGCGCTGGACCCCCCTGGCGGCGCCTCCGGCGCCGCCCCTGGCGCGCTCCGCGCGCCAGGGAGGGGGGTCCAGCGGCGATCCGAGAAATCCGCGCGGACTTCCGAGTTTGTATGTTTCTGCCATTCTTCGTTCCCCTGGAAGAGCTGGATAAGGACGCTGGGAAAACGCGCCACGGCGGCTGCCTGAGATCAAGCATCCGATGTGTACTGTGTGAGCACATGCTCGATGCGGCCCGAGTGGGGCATCTTTGAGCACAGCCTGCCATGGCGATGACCCGGCGAAGGTCAAACATGAAGGACCGCTTGTTCACCTAATACCGTCTCGAGCCCAAGTAGTATAAATGTGATGCGAACCAAAAAACATGGGGAGGCGAGGAAGAGGCACCGTAAGAGAAGGAGATGATATGACATTGCTGCTGCTGCTGATGATGATGCTGCTGCTGCTGCTGATGATGATGATGATGATGATGAAGATGATGATGATGATGATGATGATGATGATGATGATGATGATGATGATGATGATGATGATGATGCGGAGGAGGAGGAGGAGGAGGAGGAGGAGGAGGAGGAGGAGGAGGAGGACGATACGGATGAGGATGAGAAGGAGCAGGAGAGAGGAGCAGGATAATCAGGACGAGGATGATAGGAGGAGAAGACGAGGTACCGATGTTGGTTCCCTTGTGAAATCGTTGTGGCTTTGCGGACCGCTTGGCAGTTCGCACGCTTGAAACAAAGCGTATGTGCTCCGTCGGAACATTACTGTGGCTGCTCGTCGAGTCACGTATTTGGGGCTGCAATTCGTTCAGGCTTCGTCAATGGCCCAGACGTCGAGAAGCTCGAACTTCGGGTGGCAATATCAGGGGGCGAAGTCCATGGTGCGGGGACTGGCCAGCTCGCTAACGCTAGGATGCAGGCTGGAAAAAGAGAGTGCAGTTTCGCGGTTCTTCTTACACCGTTCTTCTGGCGATGCGCGTCGGACGCCTTATCATGCCGACAGGTGAAGGAGAAACCCAAGTGGGGAGAACCTGGTGCGAATAAGGCTGCGAAGGAGGCCAGACCCATTTCATATGCCGAAGTTCCTTGCATACACAGTCGAGTGACATGTGATGATCCAGAGCGATGACAGGTGAGGATGTGCAGAGAAGCGAGAAGTATGCTGTGCAGTGTGCTAGTAGCCAGCGCATGGATATATTTTCCCACTGGGGAGCAGGGAGGCGGGGACAACGATTTACAGCTCTTGGAGACGGTGTCAATCCATTGTGCACGTCATGGTGCCCACGCGTGTAGACACGTGATTTAGATATATGCGCATGTGTATACACTTGTGTATGTACATGCCTGCATACACTTATTCAGAGAGACGGAGAACGTTTGCTCTGGAAGCGACGATCGCGCCGAACTAGCAGAGTTAGCGGCAGCACTGGCAACAGCACGCAGGGCACGGAGCGCCAAGAGTTTCTGTTCATGTGTTTTTGTTCCTTCTTCTACTGTCCTTCCCTTCCCTCTCCCTTCCTTCCCCTTCTCTCCCCTTCCTCTCTTCCTTCCTCCGCCCTCCCCACTCCCTGGCCCCCCTCCCGCTGCTCCGAGCCAGCCAGGCCAAGAAGAAGGAGAAGGCCCCCGCAGAGCCCGTGGCGCCCACCGTGGAGACCCCCTGGGGGGAGAAAAAGGACCCGGCCGGCATCGCTCTCCCTCCCTCAGGGCCACGACTCACGAAACGATGTTCGCAACCGACGAGGCGCACAGTTTGGTGGACATCCTTCGGGGCAGGTTTGCCGGCGTGGAACGCTCAGCAGCACGTGTGCACGCCGCTTCGGGCGAGGGCCCGCATGCCTTGTGCGACTCCCACCGCCTCCGCCCCGCCGGCGACGTGAGGGCCGGCGATGGGCTACACTCCGCCCATTCATTTCCCTCCTCCTCCTCTTCCTCACCCAGAGTCACACTCAGATGCTATGAAATTGTATGGTATGCGATAATATGACAAGTTAGGGTATGCTATGCTATGTTATGTTGTACTTTGGTGCGTTATGTAATGGTATGTTATGTTGCGTTGTGTTACGTCATGGTATGTGATGGTATTCCCTATTTCCAGAAGATGGGGTTATTGTTATTTTTCTGACCGCGCCGGGAACGCCCACAGGAACACCCTCACATATTCCTAATCAGGCTATGTTATGTTGTGTTATGGTTTCCCCCATGTCCAAAGGATGGGGTTCTTGATATTACTCCGACCACGCCGAGAACACACACCTCCCTCCGCCTCCTCTTCCTCGCGCTGAGTCGCATTTATATGTGTTGGCATAGTATGATATGTTATGTTTGACTTCCCATGTCCAAAGGATAGTGATCTTGTTTTTTCTCCGACCGCGCCGCGGCGGCCCACTCATCTCCCTCCTCCTCCTCTCCCCCACCTAGAGTCACACTCATACGTTCTGTTATGGCACGGCACGCTATGATATTGTATGGCATGGTATGGTATGTAATGTTCGCTTATGGTATGGTTTGTTCGCTTATGTTATGGTATGCGATGTTATGGGTTGTTGTGCTATTGTATGGTACGTTCTGCCATGCATCGTTATGGTATGGGTTGCTATAGTTTGTTGTGTTATGTTATGGCATGATGATGCTGATGCTGATGCTCATGCTGATTATGCTGCTGCTGATGATGATGCGCCCATGGTGGCCCAGACTGCGAGGATGTTTCGATCGGCTTGCTTGTTTTGCCGGCCACACTCGCGGGCACGGATCCTCTTCAGGACACAGGAGGCTCCAGGAGTCCACAGGAGGTCCCAGGAGTCATCACGAGGCCACAGGAGGCCACATGAGGCCCTAGGACGCCACTGCAGGTCCCAGGAGACCCCAAGAGGCCCCAAGAGGCCCCAGCAAGCACCAGGAGGCCAGAGGAGGCCACAGGAAGCACCAGGAGGTCACAGGAGGCCCCGGACGGCGCCAGGAGCCCCCACGAGGCCCCAGGAGCAGGATGCTTCAGAAGGCCACACGAGTGGCTCCAATCCCCGATGTTTTACGTATGTGCCTGTGGATTGGGCCTCCCCTGGAGCACGAATCCGTCGTGTTTTTATTTATGTATATTTCTACAGATTGCCCTTCTGGCGTATCGACTCCTAAGTGTTTTACATCTGTTCCTATACATTGGGCCTTCCCTGTGGCACGAGCCCTTGATGTTTTACGCGTGTTTCTATAGATTGTCCTTCTCCTGTGGCTCCTATCCGAAGTGTTTTGCGTCTGTTCCTGGCGATTGGGCCTCTCCTGGGGCACGAATCCTCCTCAGGAGGCCCCGGGAGGCTCCAGAAGGCTCCTGGAAGCCCCAGGAGGCCACACTTTGCCCCAGGAGGCCTCAGGAGGAAGCCTCAAGACTCTCCAGGAGGCCCCAAGAGGTTCCAGGAGGCCCCAGGAAGCCCCAGGAGGTTTCAAGAGGCCCCAGGAGGCCCCAAGCTCATACGCAGAGACGCATTTATATGTCTGAGATTCATTCGCACTCCAACTCATTCAAAGTTTGATACGCTCACAGACCGTAGATACTCCAGTCCGTTTATAGTTGAACTTTTTTTGCGGTTAGACACTCACGGCGACAGGCCCATGCTAATTGATGCACATCTGTGGAGCTCCACGCAGCGACTACTGTTATGCTATGGTGTCGTAAGCGTTGTTATGTTGTGTTATGCCATGGTCTGTTATGGTGATGATGGTGACGATGTTGGTGATGATGATGGTAATGATGATGATGATGATGATGATGATGATGATGATGATGATGATGATGATGATGCTGATGCTGATGATGATGATGATGATGATGATGATGATGATGATGACGATCATGCTGGCGGAGCAGATTCTGAGGACGTCTCGAGGGCGGCGCGGGTTTCAGCACCCCCAAGGGGGAGCCGCCAGGGGGTATTGCACTTCCCCGTTCGCGCCATAATGGCGGGGATGTCTCGAGTGGTGTGCCTGTTTGTTGCCGCAGCATCCTTACTTTCGGAACAGATTCTGATAATGGCTCGAGCGAGGCGCTGGTTCTCGCACCTCTGATGGCCCAGATTGCAAGGATGCTTCGATCGGTTTGCTTGTTTTGCTGGCCAGACTCGTCTGCGTTTAAAGCAGATTATGAAGATGCCTATGGCGAGGCGCTGGCTTCGACACCCCAGCGGGGCCCAGATTGTGAGGATGTCCCAGACTCACTTACGCTCAACCTCACTCGTGCCTAGACTCAACCATGCTCCAACTCGTACTCATCATACTCGTACTCAGACTCACTCACATTAAAAATTACGCACACTCAGACTCACTCACACTTAGACCCACAAATTCTCAGACTCACTCGTAGTCAGACTCACTCGTACTCAGACCGACTCAGACTCAGACTTATGTATGCTCATCATACTCATGCTGAGACTCAGTCACATTCATGCTTACACACCGTCATAATCACTCACAGTCAGACCCACGCATTCACTCGTAGTCAGATCCACTCGTACTCAGACCCATTCAGACTCAGACTCGTACTCATTATATTCACATTCGGACCCACTCACCCCCAGACTTACCCACACTCAGACCACTCTCACTCAGGCTCGCTCATATCCTGACATACGCATTCTCAGACCCACTCGTACTCAGCTTTTCTCAGACCTAGACTAACTGACACTCAAACTCAACCACACAAAACCCCGCTTGTACATCAAGCAGGTTGAAATCTTAAAACTCTTGCGAATAGACGCTCACGGCGGACGCGTCCATGCAAAAAGATGCACATATAGGGAGCTCCACGCAGTGAATCATGCTTGACTCTTGAGGCCTCTTGGGAGGCCTCTTGAAGGCCTCTTGGGTCGTCTTGGAGGCCTCTTGGGCCAACTTGAGGCCATCTTGGGCGTCTTGGCCCGATCTTCGGGCGTTTCGGGGCCCCCTTGGGCCGTCTTGCAAGCCGGACGGGCCCTCTTGGCCCATCTTGGGGCCTCTTTGGGCCCGAGAAATCCATGCGCCACCACTTGGCAAAGCCCGGGAGGCACGTGGGAAACCCCAGGGGGTACACGGGAAGCTTGGGGAGATTTGAGAGCGGGCCCCGTCAAGAGCCCTCAGGAGCGAAGATTGAGGCTTAGAGGACTGGGCCCAGCACCTGAGGACACGCCCACTCCGTGCTCAGCAGCATGGTGGCGGATGAATGTGTACATATACATATATATATACACACATGTATTCGCTCGTGGCAGAGCCTGGTCACAGTGGTGACCAGCGCTGCGGGCGATGCCTCGCCGCGCCCGCGGTGCCGCTGGATGACTATAACGAGGTTGTAGACGTCTCGCCGGAAGCCTGTTGGGGTTGAGCGTTGTCATATATATATATACACATATATATATAATCATATATGTATAAATGTCTATATATATGTATATGTATACATGTGTATGTACACATACTCATGTCTATATATGTACCCCCCAGACAACTCCGGCCCAGGGGTACCTTTCGCACAGCCCCCCCGGGCTTCCGGGCCTCCCCGGCCAGCCAGCCGCACTCCTCTTGACGCTGCGGGCGGCTCCAGCAGCCCCGCAGCGACCCCCAACGCGGACCAGCAGGCCCGAGGGCGGCCTCCGAGTGGTCCCAAGACGGCCAAGTCACGCCCCAACAGCCTCCAAGTAGGGCCCCATGCGGGTGACGCCCAGGAGGGCCGCGAGATGCGAAAGAGCGCGCTCTGTGGTCGCTTGGACGGGGTGGGGCTGGAAACCGAACCCTCCTCCCCCTGGATGGAGGGGGGGGTCGAACCCCCCCCCCCTCCCCTCCCTCTCCTCCCCTATGTCTCATCTCTCCCTCTCCTCGGGCTGGCGCCTGCGTCGGCGGCGGCTGGCGGCGGCGGCGGGGACGACGACTTCCTCTTCTGGGCCAGCGCCGGCGCCTGCTGCGGCGGGCGGCTGCGGCGGGGAGCGTCGACGAGGACAACGGCGACGACGAAGACGACGACTACGACGACGACGCTCCGCCACCGTGCCTTGGTTTTGGGTCAAATGGATGCCTCTTGGGGTCTCGTCGGAGGGCTCTCGGGGGCCTCTGACGGGCATTTCAGGTGGTGGTGGTGGCGGTGGTGGGCTGTGGTGGTGGTGGTGGTTGTGGCGGTGGTGGTGGTGGTGGTGGTGGTGGTTTGGTTGGTGGTGGTGGTGGTTGTTGTGGTGGTTGTGGTGGCAGGTTGTGGAGGCGGTGGTGATGGTGGCGGTGGTGGTGGTGGCGGTGCGGTGGTTTCTGGTCGTGGTGGTGGTGGTAGTTGTGGGGGTGGTGGGTTAGGGTGGTGGTGGCGGTGGCGGTGGTGGTGTGGTGGTTGTGGTGGTGGTAGTGGTTGTGGTGGTGGTGGTGGGTTGTGGTGGTGGTGGTGGTTGTGTGGCGGGTTGGTGGTGGCGGTGGTTGGTTGAGGTGGTTGTGGTGGTGGTGGCAGTGGTGGTGGTGGTAGTGGTGGGAATCGTCGCTGCGTCCCCGCCGTCGGCGCTGCTGGCCGCCGCCAGCGCCGGCGCCAGCGCCGGCGAGGGGGGTACGGGGGGTGGGTTTGAACCTCCCCCCCCCTCTTCCCCCTCGGGCTGCCTCTGGTCACCGTCGCTTTGTCCCCGCCGTCGGCGCTGCCATGGCGGCCTCTAGCGCCGGCCTTGGCGCCGGCGCCGTGGAGGGG